TTTTCCAGAGCACAACACAAATTCAATCCTAGTAGTGTTGTCAATTTCTACTAAATGAGGGTGCATTATGTGTGACATCATTCAAAGTTGTGTAACGTTTAATGTGAAATATCATTAGCTGAAACAGTACAGTAAACATCACTTTGCACATACTGTAAAATGACTAATTTTCACTGGGTTTAAATTTCTGATTTACCATTTCAGGCATATTCAGAGGGTTTTAAATTCATGATTTTATCATTTAGATAATGTGTTCTATGCTCAATTTTACATATTCACTGGGTTTTAATTTGGCGCATGTTTCAGTCAGCAAAATAAGCAAAATTAAAATCCAGTGAATAATTAATCCCTTTACAGTAATCATTTTATGTATGTACGAAAAGTATGCAGAGAAAAAAAGTATGCGGAGAAAAAACAAATCTTGCAACAAAACCATTTTTATCGCAGCAATACGAGAATTTCAGATTGGACACCAACAATTACTCATAATAATGCCGGCTAATAATTTATTTTGAAAAAAATATTAGTAACATTTCTGTCTGTTATCGAAAATTCACCAGTAGCCAAAAATGCTTGTCCACTGACGTGCTCAGCTTATTACATAATTAGCATAAATTAGCATGTGATTTGTAAGTGTAGTTCTGTTAAATTGTGATTGCTCCGTCTCGCATTTGGTAATGTGATAACAAGGTTACCGCCTGATCTCACTTAATCCTAGAACTGGTTGATACAAGTGACATCATAGGCTAGTGTTATCCATGAACCATAAAAGTGCATTCATTCCACATCACTAAAAAAATAAAGGCTTGTTAATATAATGAAGATGTAACCCAAATGATTCATAAACAGTAGGACACTTTGACCAGTCTGTACTTCTGATGTTTATATTATTAAACAAATTAGAGTTTTAGTTTTTGGGGATTGTCTAATACAGCAAATATTGTACACAGAAACTATATCAGTGTTTGAAATTATTGCCTGCTCATCTGCCCAAGACGAGCAACTTTCCAGTTGAGCTGGTAAAAAAAAAACTTACATGCCTGTCAACATTTTGTCTGTTTTAATTAAAGGTTTGAACGTGCCATTCTCATCTGAAGGCTGATATGAAGAACAAAACAAATTAAAATGGAAAAATTAATTTGTTCATCTTGTGTGTTGGCAGAATGTTGATTTTTTTGTGGTGCTTACTTGAAATGAGAATGAAAGAATTTTATAATTATCTTTAATTCAGTATTGGTGACATTTTAATATTATCTATCCTGGTGTTTGATTTACAAATTTTAAACACTGCTTATAACATACACATCATGACCTAACATCTCTGTGAAGCACTAAAATCTGCCAGTTTTGATATGTGCAAATAAAAACATTACTATAATTACATATGCAAATTTTGACACTACAAAGTGAAATAATTTCAAATTAATGTCATGTCAAATTTGTTGTTCATGTTAGGAAAAAGAGGGCCGAAGCAGAGACGAGAAAACTGAAAGAAGTGCAGAGAGAGTTGGGAAAAATTGATGGTTTGATAAGTAAAGATGTGGCCATGCTGAGAAATAAAATAGAAGATGCCAGTCGAGACTATGTTGAAGCACAGTAAGTATTGGGTTCTCAACTACAACACAAGGTTGTCAGTCATGTGAATGCAACAAGTCATGATAAAATAATTGGTTCATTTCTTCCGCTCCAATTACACAGTGGGTGGATCTTTTTTCATTATCTGCTAATTAACAATTTTCCATCCACTGAGAAATTCTGCATTTAATGTGAAATCTAACATGAAAACAGGAAACAAATGTCTAGCTTTGTAGTGGTGACCCAACATAAGATGGCATTCAACAAATGCAAAACTTTTCCGACATTTCCACACTTACCCTTAATGATGGTCATACTTGGAAGTTTGACATTGAGCAATAAAAACAAATTTAAAAGTCTTCACCTTCATACAATATGCACAGTCTCTGGTACTAAAAGTACAGGGCAACTAAAAGAGTTGGAAAAGTGTTGATGATATTTTGTTTTTTCATCACAGGAGAAGACTTGAAAAAGCTGAAGCTGAGTTTATTGCTGCCAAAATAGACTTGAATGAAAAAACTGATGTTAAAGATAAACTTGTCGATCATCTATATGCAATAATACAAGAAAATGAAGAAAGGAAAGCAAAGAAATTGGAGGAATTAACTGTTAAACTAGAGGTTGAAGACTTGGAAGAATACAGTGAGAAACATGATGCAGCTATTCAGATTAGCGAGACTGTAGTTCAGACACAGCCAGCATCTACTACATCAACAGCCACAGATTCAGACGTGGAGAAAAAAGAATCAGAGTCTAAAAATGAAACAACACAATCGCCACCACCCCCAACAGAGGAGAAACCGAATACCACTCGAACAGAAGCAGATTCATCAAAGGTAGAAGCGAAGGAATCAGTGACTACAAATGTAACGACTGAATCAACAGACATGAACAGTGAAAAAGAGATTAAATCTGAGGCTGTATGTAGTAGCAGTTGACTTGAGATCAATAAAGCGCCTAATCCAGATACTTTCTAGGGCATAATCTTGATGACTTTTTACAAGGATTCTGCTTCCTACACTCATCATAGACCTATATTTCAGAACAAGATGAGTCTCCAACATTCAAGTAACAAGATTGACATGTCCTTCATCCAACCATCAAAGCTTTTGATCATAAATTATTGCCCTCTGTTGCCAATGACGGAATGGTCAAACTTACATATCAAACACAAATTCTGTACACTAGTACTTTTTTTAAAAATTTTAATTCTTAGTTTTGTAATTGTTATATTCGTCATAGGAAAGATAGTTTTCTTTGCCTATG